GGGGGGGGGAGGGAGCTGTTGACGGGCAGGATGTGCAGCGCTCCTAAACGTTTAGGTGCGGTGTAGGTGTGAATGCTGCGTTTTTCTCCATGATGTGATTTGCAAGGAAGATGTCTCAATATCAGCGCCCGCTCCACCCAGTGAGCCGAAGGGAGGATCCCAACACCCCACCCTGCGCTCCCCCTTCTCTTTATGCAAGTCCTAGCCACCTAGAAACACTCTAGCAAACTTACGTCTTCTGTCATTTGTGCTATTTTTGCGGGCATCATCGCCACCCGCGAGTTCTCCAGGCCGGTGCTGGCGATGACGTCGCATGTAGGCCGATATATGTTTACTATTTTCTCTCTAGATCCGGCACACACACACACACACACGCACACATACACACATATAGGTGGAGGAAACGAGTTGTTGCACTGCCTTCTGTAATTATCACGCGCAGGAGAAGTTTTAGCCGTGAAAGTACGGCGCACGACGCATCCTGCCGTCCGGCCCAGCCCGCGGACCGGAAATGGGTTGGCGGACGGATGGTGCGCCGCCGCCCAATTTGAATCAAGGGCTGCTTGTTGTTATTAGTAAGATTATTTCTTCGCAGTAGCAGGACGCCGCCACGCCGATGGTGAATCGCGCCTTTCATCGTCCGGACGAAAAAAGGAAATCGAAAGTTCGTTGGACCGTCGCCGTCCAGCTAGGGAGAGACACGATCGCTGTGGACATCGGCCAACAGCAGCAGCCCGGAGCCCGGGCAGCGCAGAGTCACGAATACTTCCCTGCGCGGCCCGCGCGCCCCTTTCCCTAAAGCATCCTGCGCGGTTACGTTCAACAGCTGCGAGTCCTGGCATGTAATCTCTTTGCGCTGACGGCCTGTCCACATCGTCACCGCGCAGCGCCTCGCGACCAAAGCAAGCAAACGCACTTGCGCGCGCGCGCGTGCCTGTGTGTTTGTGTGTTCTCTTATGTGAGTGCCGCGCTTTCATCTAATCAGTAACGGCAAGGTGCAATAACCGCGACGAGATGACGTTGAAGCGTGTAATAAAGTGTGTGTACGTACGAGCGGGAGAGATAGAGACAGAGAGAAAGACAGATCATGCACATGCACCCCCCCCCCCCTTTTCCACCGCCTCAACCCAACCCCATAAAAGAAAAGAAAATGAAAAATTGTTCCTGATATCACTACATTTGTCTGTGTACTTAATCTTTTGAGTGCAATGCCCTTGTTTTGAGAGCATTTTTCTCAAAATTAGCGCGTTTTAGATATGTCACAATTAAAACTCTAAATGGGAAATTTAGTGGCAGTGTCTATCGACTTGGACTCGAATGATGAGCCATACCATGAGTGGGAAGTTGTACATGTACGACACATTTTGTAATTGGTACAGAACAGAATGTACAATGTACTTGTACAAACATATTATATTTCACAGCGAAGGTAAATGCCATTGAAAGAAAGTAAAAATTGTAAGTTTAACGATATTTGCCGTAAATGTGCTTTAAACCAAGGGTTAAATTTCCTTGTAGTTTTAAAAAAAACATATTTTTTGGTTTTAAAATACAGTTTTCTGGGTGTTTAAAAGGCAACGCTGAATAAGTAAATCAAGTATAAGAAAAATTAATTAAACACTTTATTTCTGGGTGTCAACTGTTCGGACTTGTCGGGCTTAATGCATCTGCGTGCAGTATGCAGTCCATGGCATTGTGTTCTAAGTGCATCATCACTATGCATCACAGGTGGGAGGTGGAGCAATAACATTCGCTTGCAATGCTCGTCGCGTGCTCTGCCGGACAAGTTCCCAACTACTTTCTCCAGGTTCCTGCGCCGAGGATGCAGGCAACTTATTCGACTCCTGGAGAAAGTGCCGGTCGCGCCCGCCGCGTGGGCAACCAATCCTACTCCGCGACTGAATAGCCGGTAGGAACCCCTTCCGTGTCCAGGAACAGGTTGGGTTGCCTGCCACTTCGGGGTTAGGCGGGTAGGAGTTTGGTCTCGCTAGCCCCTTTCCCCCTAAGTTCACAACAATACACACGTTTTTCGATTTTTCTTGTGCGGACTCTAGTAGGAAAACTTGTATTGTGCATCACAGGTCGTATTATAAGAATTTCATTTTACATTTAGTGTTATGATATCAAAAAATTACTTAAAAGACTTAAAATAAAGTCATAGAAACGGCAGTATTTCGATTACTATTCTTTTGTATCAGAATACACCAAAAAAATTGGAAGGAGTTTTGAATCAAGTACATTAATTTTTGGAACAAAGGTTCATGCACTTAGTTTCGAGAAAATGGACTTTGTAAAAGTGCTTGCTTCTTTGCGATGTATACCTAAGTTGGCTATGATTGGCTTCTTATGTCTTCAGCGCATGTGTCGTGCAACAGATACAATATAACCTCCCCTTATCCCCTTCTTTCTCATCCCTTCCAAAGAGCTGAATGAGTTGCCTACTACGCCGGCTGAGTCTACTGCTAGCAGCTGGTGCTCGTCTGTCTTGAATCAGTGCTTTGAGAGTCCACGCCAATTTAACACTGATTTTCATTTTAAAGACGCCCTTGAAACCAAGTATCTTTGCGCGACTCTAGTGAAACCACGTACCTCCATTTTTCGTCGACTTTTGAAACGTATACCATTCCATAGAGAAATTGGCACTCTATGGTAATTTATAGTCCTTAAACAATCGTAAAAAAATGCGTTACGTGGTTTAACCAGAGTCGCGCAACGATACTTAGTGTCACAAGCGACGCGCGAAGATACTTGGTTTCACTAGAGGCACTGCGCCATGCGTGCTTTGAGTTATGGACGAGTTAATTATACTACGTTTACTTTCTAGAATACTCTACGAAGAGAAGTGCATAACATTCGCCGAACACTCAGGAGTGGGGCGTGTTAAAATGACGCAATATGGAATGTGTGACCATTGTATTGCCCACGAAAAAGAGTGTGAATTCTAGTCGAACGTGTTCTGCTCAATATAAAAAGTGTGCGCTGGATGTCACACACTTGGCTGAGTGTGACATCACTTTCAAACACACTTTTGCCAATTATTTACATAACATAATTTTATTTGTAGATCAGAAATCCAATCTTTGGGTTACCTTTTTTGTGATTGTTGCATACAGTAAGCAATGTTTGTGCATAGGCCATTTCGGCTCATCGAAATGCCACACTCAGCGGTCTCACCGAGCTGAACCAGTTTTCCCCAGGAGGTGCACCGTACACTGCAACTCCCGAGAGTCCAGTGGAGTGATACTACCGCACTTTCTTCTCAGGTGCGGAGTAGGATTTTCGCGTCCGCATCTAGTAGAAAACACGCAGCTAGGCGCAGCCAAGCCATACCAGCTCTCCCTCGTTCGTTTTGTCCGTCGGAGAAATTAACAACTAGGGCTTCGTTTGGCACTCGAAAGTGACAACAGTCATAATGAGCACCATATGTTGCCATGTGAGTTTCATATCGATCCCTCCTCACCTCACCCTCCTCATTTGACGTGGAGAGTAGAAAGCTAGTTCGGAGATGTGGAATGGTCAGCTGAGCAGGGAAAGTTGGCACATCCTTCATGTTCATTAGGGAGAAACGTTTTGATACCGTCTCGTTTTCTAAAAGCTCTGAAGTTATACACGCATTAGCGATTGGTGTGCCTATGTGGCTGCTCCTTTTCCCAAGAATGTCAGATTCTTTCACACCCATAAACCATTGAAATATGTGAGTCTGATTCGGAAGTAATCTTTCTAGATTGTTTATTATTATTAGGAGTGAGTGTCGGCTTGTTTCATTGAAGTTACTCAGGCATTTGTCTGTAAGTATGGAGGTCAGAGGTTGATACATTTTGGTGTAAGAAGGTTTGACAAATCATAACATATTCTCTCAGCAAATTTTTCTTTATTTTCGAACGCAGGGAACACATGATTGTTCACTCCATTTCATCAGACACACAGTGGAAGATCTCCAAAATTATAAATAAGAAACAAAACAGAACAATGTGGAACAGGAGATGAAGGAAGACATTGACTTCTAGATTAAAATTGAGAAGGGGCAGCAGTGAAAATAGGAGGTAGAATGCACAAAATAAATTAAATAAATAAGAAGAGTAATAGAAAGATTCACAAGTCAGTCTGGTATGGCAGTAAAAGTGAGTCACAAAGTAAACTGTAAGCAGAAACTTCGAGCTATGTACAAAAGTATTGCGTTTCAAGTCAAAGCAAGAAGTTGTTATACAGAAATATCGTCTTTCAATACATCAAGGGGTCTGTCAGAAGAGTTAACGAAGTCAATCTACGTTTTGAGCAAAATACAAAGGACTAGATGTGTTAAGTGGGACGCTCCGTTAGTAAAGTTCTGTTATTTCTTTAAAATAACAAGGAGATTCATTACACAGGTTTCAGAGAGAAGAGGCTTGGTAATGAAATGATCCATCTGTGGTGCGTGTTACTCCATAGCTCACGCTATGTGAAAACACTGAATCTAGTCATAGCTACAACTGAGAAGGAAGGTAATATCACAGAGCAGAGAAGATGCATAAGAGCGAACAAGAAAGTCACTTAACAACAATAAGAGAAACACTGTAAAGAAATAGTCTTCACTGGTCAGTCAGATAGAAATAGCTACAGGTAAAAAGGTGAGAAAAATGTCGCACCACCCTTCTAACTGGGGGCACTCGTAAAAAGGTACCTGAGATATGTTGCTAGGATTCTAATACTTTCCTCGTCTACAGTTATCGGTCAAGAGCAGAAGGTTTATCAGTCGATCTGTCAATAGTCTAGAGTCCTGAGTCAGTAGCCTACGAGTCTTTGGTCTGTCGTCTGATCCTAGACTTAAGTCTTGGTTAATTGTAAGCCTGTGCTCAAATATAGGACTAGAGGTTGTAACGTATAGTTTTAGGAGTTTCATCTTCGACTTTCAAAGATCAAAGTAAAAGTTTTTGTCGTAGCGATTTGTTACGGTTTTGTTAACATTTACGTGTCGGGTTCTGAAAGGAAAACAAACAATACAACATGGGAAACGTAATAAATTATTTACAAAAAAAATAAATTAATGCTTGTGCGCCCGGTTGGCTTGACGGAATCGCGGTCGGACTGTCCGCGCAGCGTCACCTGCAACAACGGAAAGGCCACTCGTTAGTACAAGCGCCGGTCAGCAGCTGATGTCCTACTACACGACCGCTTCCACCTCTTTCGCGGACCCATCATTTGTTATATCGTCTACGTGGGATGGAGTGACCGATGCGGTCGGACGGCGGACGATGGACGATGGAGGAGGAGGAGGGGGGGGGGGGCAGGCGTGGAGAACCATCGGGCACTTATTAACGCCGGCCGTGCCCGAGTGAGAATCAAGGACGAAGAAAGCAAGCCTTGGCCGCCACGTAAACAAGTAAAACAGGGAGTGAAACCTGTCCTGCTAGTTGAGCAGGAGCAGGGTGGCTGGTCACTGGGTCACCAAGCCGACTGGACAGACGAGTTGTCCGAATGACCCACATGTTCCAAACTGCCGCCTCCCCTGTCCCGCCGTCGCGTGGACAGCAGCACATGGCGACCGCGCCGCGGGAGGCCGGAGGCTGCCATTTCATCTGTAATCGCGCTGCCGCTGCCGGCTTCCGGTCGGGAGCGCGCGGGCTCCGTATGATACCGCCTCCTCCGCCAATCACTACTCACCTTCCGAGCAACATGGCAGCGCTGGTTCGGTGGTGTGGCGTCGTCCCCTCACCGCCGTGAGATGGGCTTCTGGCCGTTGTACGCCAGGGCGTGGGCGACGGGGGAGGAGTAGGAGCCGTGGGCGTCACCGCCGTCCCAGCCGCCGGACGAGTAGCCGCCGGACCAGCCGTGCGGGGCGTACTCGGCGTGGACCTCCTTCACCTCGTGACCGTGGCTCTGGTTGCCGAGCAGCTTCCTCAGGGCGATGAAGCCGGAGATGGCGAGGGAGACGAGGGAGGCGAGGATGGCCTTCTTGGCGATGAGGGCGATGATGACGTAGGCGAGACCCAGGAAACCGACGATCTTCATCTTGGCGGCGAGCAGGACGGGGATGAGGGCACGGATGATCTTCTTCTTCTTGCCACGACCTGCAAGGCGACAAAAGTGTCATGGTGAGAGGGGCGTCAGGGGCAAGGTCACGGGCAAGGTCGGCGGCCACACTACGGCCCCGCCCGATGGAGGCCAGTGGAGCCAAGGTTGAGTGCAAGGCCAGAGGTGCTAACGGTGCCTGGTCGTAAAGCCGCCGGGGCCTCGGCCTCCGCGCCGCGCGACAGGCGGGCGTGATGAGTGGAGATGAGCTCCCCCCTCCCCCCTTCCCCCCAGCCGCGCCCCGCCCCGCCCCGCCCCGCCGCGCCGTATGAGCCACGCACGCCTTTGTTGTGGCCGGGACAGAAAGGTGGGCGGAGGTGGGGGCCCCGCCGGGGCGGGCGTGCAGCTCGAAGCCCCGCGCCGCTTTTCCACTTTTATCTCCGGCGCGAGCCACTAGAGCGCGGTGTTAATTATTTTCTGTTATCTTTTACTCTCGACCCTCTTTCCGCCTCTGGCGCATATTCGCGGGAATGTGGCACACTCGGGCGACGTCGTTGACATGCGAAGCCCTCCCCCCTCTCCCCTCTCCATTTCATCCCATCCCTGCCCTTTCTCCATTTTTTACACTTATACTTTTGTTTTTTGCTCTCAGCCCCAGCGCGTTGCGTGCTGCAACTAGTGCAGCGCGGTGACAATGGCGTCCAAATCAACGTTCATCGCCACTCAGCACAGTTTGAGCCCCACCCCAGCGTACTCACCCTCAGTCATGAAGTTGGTGACCTTGGCCTTGAGCTCAGCGGGCACGTAGTCCATGAGGGCGCGGGCGGAGGCGCTCACATCACTGACGATGGGGGCAACGTTCCATCGCAGGCTTCTCTCGGAGAAGAACTCGGTGGCCTTCTGGACGGCGAAGGTCTCGAGGGCCTCTTCGCGGTCCTCGACGGCGCCCTGGGGCAGGACTTCCTCGGCGGAGCGGCCATCGCGGGCCACCTCGCCTTCCTTGACGAGGGAGAAGCCGCCGGGCAACTCGACGGACTTCTGGTCGAAGAAGGACCTCAGGTGGCGGTACACCTGATGCTGCACGCACGAGATGGAGTCCTTGCGGAGGCACTCCTCGAAACCGTATCCTTCACTGTCTTGTATCGTGTTGGTGTCCACGTTGACGGAGGCGGCGGAGGCCACCACTAAACACAAGGCGAACGCGCCCAAGACCTTGAGGGTGGTCATCTTGGTGGTGAAGCGGCGTCTGCGGCGCTGCTTGAGGTATCCTTTAGTTCCACACACGTTTCGCACTCAGACACCCGGACGCACTGGGCTGAGTTCTGTCACCTTCGAGGGACGTTGAGCTAGTGTACCACCTGAATGCCGGCCCTGGCTTTTAAACTGCCCCTCTAGAGGCCTTGTTGGACCGCGTGTGATTGGTCGGGGGAGGGGAGGCCGGCAGGCTCGCCGGCAGGCCGCAGGACCACCGGCCTGGGGGAGGGGGCCGCGGG